AGGCTCTCACCCCAGCCCCTCCGGGCGGCCCAGCTCGTCCCCACTCTCCTGCTCTGGGGGCCACCGGCTGGCAGAGCCGAGAGCTCCAGGCTGGCGAGGCTGGCACCCTGACCTGCGCCAGGTCCTCCCAGCCTCGGGCCGCAGTTTCCGTCTCGCTGTGTGGCAGGGCGGTGAGGTGGATGGTTTCAGCTCGGACTTGCAGAGCCCGAGAGGCTGGGAGCGGAGCGGAGCCCTTCCGCGGCGACATGATGCGCTGGCTCTGAGATTCCGGAGTCCCGGCTGCCGAGGCCCCAGGGGTCGCGGATTTCGAAGTTTGAAGATGCCGTTGTCCAGCCGGGCAGGCATGGTTGGTTCAGTGGCTAAGCGTCGACCTGTGAACCAGGAGGTCATGGTTCAATTCCCGGTCAGGGCACAGGCCCGGTCCCGGGGGTGTGCAGGAGGCAGCCCATCCATGATTCTCTCTCATCACTGATATGTCTGTCTCCCTCTCCCTCTCCCTTCCTCTCTGAAATCAATAAAAAAATATATATATATTTTAAGAGAAAATGTCGTTGTCCATTCATTCAACACGTATCTGTTGAGCACCTACTGTGTGCCAGGTATGTGCTTGGTGCTGAAGCTACAGCAACGATCAAGCCAGAACAATCCCTCCCCCTCACAGGGCTTCCTTCCGACCTAGAGCAAGAACAAGCACTCAATGAAACTCTCACGGCGAGAAGGAAAGGCCTCGCTAGGGGCTGGAGGCAGGGTGTCAGATGTGGGAGCTGAGCCCTGACTGCTGAGAAAGAGCCAGCCATGCGGGGACAAGCATGAGGGGAGCTGGAACAGCATGTGCCCAGCCCCCGCTGCAGGTGTGAGTGTTGGCGAGGAGGCCTTGGCGGCCGTGACTTAGTGAGCGCCGGAGAGAAAAGTGGGCGCCGAGGTCAGGGGTGCAGACGGGGGCAGACCCGACGAGGCCTTGGGAAGCAGGGCAAGGGGGTTCGCTATTGTTTGGGGTGCAGAGGGAAACCACGGGTTTTGGCAAAGGAGTGACATGACCTGATTTAGGTTTTTAAGAGGTGATCTGGAAGGGCTGTGGGGATCCGTGAGGAGGGGGGCTGTGCAGGAGGCAGGAGAGATGAGGAGGCCCCCAAAGGTGGAGGGAGGGGATGAGAGAGGCGGGTTTATCTAGGACTCCCCGGGAGGTAAACCCTCCGGCCTCACCCTACCACCCGGGGCAGCAGTGACAGAGGGCAGCTCCCAGGGTCGCCAGGGTCCGGCTCTGAACGCGGGCGTTGACCTCATTACCCGGAAACGCTTAGACCAGTGGTCGGCAAACTCATCAGTCAACAGAGCCAAATATCAACAGTGCAACGACTGAAATTTCTTTTGAGAGCCAAATTTTTTAAACTTAAACTATATAGGTAGGTACATTGTTATTAAAATTCAACTTCAAATTCATGGTTTTCATCTTCCGTTTTTCTTTGCTGCTTCTTTGTAGCCATCTCAAACAGGGCATCTAAAAAAATGTTTCATTTTCTAATAATAAAGCCACCAACACAAAATTCTTATATTGATGACAAAAATACCTTAGGGGGTGTGCAGGAGGCAGCCAATCAATGATTCTCTCTCATCCCTGATGTTTCTATCTCTCTCTCCCTCTCCTTTCCTCTCTAAAATCAATAAAGATATATATTTAAAATAAAAAAATAAAAACGTCCTCAAACTGATTGAGGTACGTTCGCTGAGGTTGACCCCTTCCAACTCTCCCATCCACACTCGTCTTGTATACTTGTTTCGTCTATCTCCTTTCCGAAAACCGACTTCTGCACATGGGCCACG